TAATTATATGTATAATATTATATTATATGTAATAATATATATAATCATATATAAATTTGCTTAATAAATTAATACATAAATTTATTACATTTATATGCTGCCCACCTCACAGCGACTCTGGGCAGTGGTAATAACTGAATAAATTATTATTATTACTATTTTCTGTACAGCAACTGATTCATGATATGGCAGTAAATTCTTTGCAAGTGAAATCTCGGTTTAAATTTCAAAAAGCAGGGGCCCTATTCCAATGTTTCCTCCTCCTCCTCCTCCTCCTCTTCCTTGATATTATTATTATTTAGTAAATTTATATGCTGCCCGACTCCCAGCGACTCTGGGCGGTTTGCAATGTGCTTAAATAACTTAAAGAAAGAGAAAATAAAACAGACTAGTGGCTTTTTAATTAAAAAAGGTAGTTCTTCTATTCTTCCAATGCCCACTGGGGGGCGCCAGAGCCCGCCTTTAAGACAGGCTGGAGGCGACAGCCTGGCTGGGCTCCGCTACCCCCAAGAGGAACAGTCTAGTGAAAAGCGAATTACAACTAAGGCGTTGGTTCCCAAGCGGGCGTGCGACGGAGGTCAGATCTTGCGAATCCGCGGAAGGGAAGCGGGTTGGGTTTTAAGCCCCTCTGCGCCGCGCGGCTTATTTCAGGCAAGGGATCCCGTTGCATAAGCTGTCGCAGGAGCAGCGCTCTGCCCATGCTCAGGAGCATTCTTGGCTTTCGAACGGGGAAGGAAGCGCTTGATCGGGGCGTGCTGCGAAGGGAGACTGGGGACGTTCGGTCTTCGTTGCAAAGGAGTGGGGGGTGCATTTGGGGATGCTGCAAAGCCGGCTGAAGTTGGCAACACCCGCTCCGCCGGGGAGCGCAGAGCGCAGCCGTTGCATGCGCGCGAAGTCCTGACCGTGGTTGACCTGGGTTGGGGATGGGGGGCTGTCAGCGTGCTCCCGACCCTCTCCGAGCCGCCCATGGCGAGAAGGGTGGCCTTCTGCAACGTTTGCTCCTG